GGGGGGGGGGGGGGGATGACACCTGTGTGTGTCTGCAGGGAGAGGAGCTTTGCTGCAGGAAATCAGCCGGTTTGAGAGGTTTTGGGGCAACCAGGTGGGTTTGGGGGGACAACTTTGGGGACGTGCCAGCTGGCCTTTTGTCTTCTTGGTGTCACCTAAGTGTAAGGTGACGGCGTTTTGTCGCCTGCGAGCATCTTTGGGGGCGAAACAGCTGCGGTTTGGGTGGTGGCGCTGCTGGCTGCGGAGCTGCCGGGGCAGGGATTTAATCGTGGTTTCTTTTGTCCCTCAGCTCATCCTTTTCGGGCTCAGCAACCAAATGGTGGTGACGTTCAAGGAGGAGAACACCATCGCCTTCAAACACCTCTTCCTCAAGGACTACGTGGACGGAGCCGACGACTCCTACGCCGTCTACACGCAGCGCGACCTCTACGACCGCATGTTTTACGCCATGGAGAAGGTGAGACCCACTGCGTGGTTTGGGGACACCGGGGTGGCTCGGGAGGCCACAAACAGGTGCTGAGGGTGTCTCCTTCGCCAGTATTTGGCCATTCCCAACGAAACCATCGGCCGCTACGCTTACGTGCGGGGGGAGAGCGGAGGGAACCAGTCGGCCCTCATGCTGTGCCAGCAGTATTACCGTAAAGGGCGCATCGATCCGGCCAACGACACCTTCAACATCGACCCCAAGATTGTCACAGGTGGGTTTTGGGGATGGTGAGGCTGAAATTTTTTATCCTGCTGGGTGCTGGGGTGGCTTTTGATTCTCGTTCTGGGCTTGAGAAGGTCCTGCTGGGTGCTGGGGTGGCTTTTGATTCTTGTTCTGGGCTTGAGAAGGTCCGAGGGGTCTTGGTGGAGCCTCGGGTTTCCCTGAAGGTGCTTCTCCCTCCCTGCAGACTGCCTGGGAGTAGACCCCGAGGACCCACAGCCTCTTCCCCCAGAGCTGGATCGCAGCTACAAGAACTTCACCCTCAAATTTCACAAGTAATCGCCGACGCCTTCCCCGCAATCTGGGGTGCCCCAGCTTTTTGGGGACATCCCATCAGCGCAGGGTATGGAATGGGGACCCTCAATGTGGGGAAGTCCTCCCACTGAAGCCTGTTGTTACCAGGATGGAAAAGCCCCCGTTGGTTTTAAAAACCGCTGGCGGGATAGAAAAAAAATCCACCTTTGTGCCGGGGGAGATGTGAAACCGGGGAGTTTTGTGCAACAAAGCAGCTGCTTTCCGGCCCCGTCTCCAGCGGCGTCGGCCGCAGAGCTGGCCCCGAGGCGCCGCCACTCTCCTGCAACACCCGTGCTGGGGGTTGGTTTTCCTTCCCCAAACCCTTAGTGCTGGCTTTTGGTGGCCCGTGGCCAAGCCCCAGAGCTGTGGGCACGTTATCAGCGTGGGCAGGCCCCATCTTCTTGCCTGTGTTGGGCTGCTGGTGCCGAGAGATGTGGTTTAGCTCGCGGCACTGTTTATTCCAGAGGGTCCAACCTCCTCCTTGAAGCAAAATTCACCGACACTGGGGCAGGTTGGGTGGGATTTGCTGCTCTGAAGCTGGAAACACCCTTTCCTGGGGCTGTACACACCCCTAAGGAAGGTGTTCACGCTCTCTCTGTCAGTTGCTTGGCTCTCGGCGATGTGTTTTGGGGTGGTTTTTTTTGGGCTGAGACACCCTGGCCAAGCCCCAGCACGAGGATTAACAAACATCCCCTCCCGCAGACTCATCAACGTCACCATCCAGTTCAAGCTGAAAGCCATCAACATCCAAACCATCATCAACAACGAGATCCCCGACTGTTACACCTTCACCATCACCGTGAGTGCGTTGGCACCGCTCCCCACATTGGGGTGATCCAGCCGGGGTGGCAACGTCCCCTCCCGGGGAGCAGGTCCCGGCAGCGAGGAGCTGCCAGATGGTTTGAGGGGTTGTAACCCTCCCCCTTCTCCACCAGATCACGTTTGACAACAAAGCACACAGCGGCCGGGTGAAAATCCGCCTCGACAACCAGGCTGACATCAAGGAGTGCAAAGATCCCAGCGTCTTCGGCCGAGGTAGGAGCCATGGGAGGTGTGACAAAGGTGACATCTGTCCCCAAAACGCTGCGTGGGGGGGGCTTGGGGTGCTCCTGGGTGACTGTCCCCTCAGTGAGGGGTGAAGAAGAGCCACCACCTGTCTTTGCAGGTGACAATTCCTTCCGGCTGTTCTTTGACGTTGTCGTCATCCTCGTCTGCTCGTTGTCCTTCATCCTCTGCGCTCGCTCCATCATCCGGGGGCTGTTGCTGCAGCACGTGAGT